AGTTAGACTGTTTTAATTCTAAAAAACCACAGAAGTGTAGGTCATACTACAAAGTAAAGATTGTAAGAAGGAAAAATATAAAATTTTTATGCGGTACTAGTACTAACAGTATTACGTACTGTTACGTATCTGCTTGTTTGATAATTTCCTATAAAAATTCTTTCCGAGAAACTAAATAAAACTAGTTTATTCATTCTCGTTACAACTTTGTAATACTTAATTACCAGAGTCACCTTTAATTAACTACTTTTATAAACACACACGCTATAATTCACAGTGATTCACACACTTTACTTACAATGCCCACTGTTTGCTTGACTCAATTACTTCTCTTCAATCTATCTCCGGCTTATATACGAAAAAAGAGGGCATCTAGCAAGTGCTGGGAGATTCGTGAGGTTGCCCGCTAAGTCACGATCCTTCTAGAAACTCAATTGCGCATGCTCCCAGCATCACGTGACTTTTGCTCTCGTAACACTGCCCCTTCCTTAGTATTGTTCGTCCCCAACAAAAGCCACTTATATTAAACCAATAGATTATTAACAATAACTTAATTAAATGTACAGAACTTACATACACAAAATTAAAATTCAACACAGTATCTTAATTTTACAGGACGTATCTTCTTCCGTACTGGACTCCGTCTCATTGGCTACTGCTTCATGTGGGGTTCATCTGCTCCTTCAGGAAATGTCCTATTATCGGTAACAGTAACATCAGTGATAGTAACTTGATTAAGGGCTATTTTTTCCCTTCTCAAAACCGGGTAGTTTCTTCTTCAACAGTGACTTTTTCAGGTAACACGTCTTCAGCAGCATCATTTGTTCTGTTGTTCACTTCGTTCTAACTGAAATATCCTGGACCGTGATAACGGCAAAGCCTGTTGAAATGCACCAACTTTGGCTTATCTTGCTGCCCATATTTTATTTGGAAAGTCACGTCTGAGAGACGATCCACTATGTCATATGGGCCTTCCCATGGAGAAGAAAACTTAGGAGACTTCCCTTTGGTCTTCCTGGGATTATACAACCACACCTTGTCTCCTGGTACAAAGCTAACTTCAGTAGATCTCTTATCATAACATAGCTTCATGGAATCAGCAGATGTTTTCAAGTTTGAAAGCACTTGATGGTGAATATCATCCATCCTTTCAGATAACACTTTAACGAACTCTGACAGATTTTCAGGCAACTCTTCGTAAGGTGGGCATCCTATTATCAAATCCACTGGCAACTGAAGTTTCCGACCAAACATCAACTTTGCTGGAGTGTAT